CCCCCACCCTGCCTCACCCCAACCCCCCAGCCCGGCTCACCTGCCGCCCGCGTTTCCATGGCAACGCCCCCACCGCGGAGGGAAAAAAAGCCTCGAGCTCTTCCGGGCCCCCTCCCTTGCCGACCGAGAAAGCGGGGCGCCCCGCTGATGCTTCGCTTTTTATTTTTATTTTTTTAAGAAAAGAGCCGGCGAGGTTATGGCGAATCTGCGGCATCCAACATGGCGGATGGAGTCTTCGCCCTCCTCCCCGCGGGGCGCCGACGCCTGCGTAGCGGACGTCCGCCTCGGTGACCCTCCCCCAGCGCCCAGCGCGGCCCAGCCTTGCCGGGCTCTCGCGCATGCTCGCGTTTGGAGGACGAGCTTTTGTCCCGATCCGCTGATTCCGCCGCTCCGCGTTTTGAGTCACGCCCAGGAAGGGGCACTGGGGAGGCCCGGAATCCGGATCTCAGGATCGGGAGTCTGCCCGGGTCTGCCCACCGTCCACAGCCCATCTCTGGACTTGGTAGATGTGGGATACCGGGCTGAACGTGGAAGGAGGGTTCAGGGTTCGTGTCCCTTTTCCACGTTTTACTAATTTGGGGACAGCGAATGAGCTTTTCGTGGTCTCAGTTTACTCATTTGTCAGACGGGGTGGTTACAACCTGCATCCCACTCAAGGGACGCGGTGTTTCCCACAGGTGAGATGCTTTGCGCTGGGGGTACCCAGCTGGACCTTAGGTGGTGCAGACTGGACTGAGCAACCTAGAGTCACACGAGAGAACGCGACGCCCTCCTCCTCCCATCTCTGAGTGTCCTGCAGAAGGGGTGGTCATCACACTTTCCGGTGTCAGCTGGCCTCGGTAACGTTGCTCATTTCCCTTCTCTGGCTCAGCTTTCAGCGGACCTTTTCTGGTTGAAATTCTCGTTTTTGATGTTAAGATGGTTAGCTCTAACGCTCGGTTTAGTCTTTAGCTCAAATAACCTCCTCCAAGGACCCACCCCCACTCTATCTAAAGTGACTCTACTGCTAAGTCGGTCTATATTTTCAACGGTGTATCTGTTCCTATCTGACATTAGCCATCCCGATCGCTTACCTCTGTCCATCTTGGTCCCTTTAGCCCCAGAAACTAGAGCTAAGCTTGACAGTTTTGGAATAAATTAACTTTGTGTTGCCTGTGTTTTTAAGGTAAACTTTTTTTCTTAATTGAAACATACTTGATTATACATATTTGTGGGGTACAGTATTGACATATTGTGTACAATATGTCTTCTTACAACAACTGATAACGTTTTTTATTTATGAAAGTAAGATAAAGTTTTCTTTTTAAATACAACTTATTTACATTTTTACAAATTTGTCAACTTAAAAGAAAAGTGGTGCAGAGACATGACCAAAAAATATGTAAAAGCAGACCTTAAGGAACTGGAGTTTGGGAAACACTGATTTATTTATAGGGATCCCCTGAAATGCTAGTGTTTGCCTGTTCTAAGTCTTCCCCTGGAATAGCCCCCTCTGTTGCTGCTGATAAGTTTCTCCTCAAACTGCCCTGAAGCACTTGCCTTGTGTTCCCACCAGTCTGAGTTGCACTCGCCTTGCTCCAGCCCCCACCCCCACTAGTATTTATCCATCTGCATAGCCCTGTCCCCCTCTAGACCAGGAGCTTCTTGAGCACAGAGTCCTTTACAGTTCTTTTTCATCTTCGTTTTCCCAGCGCCTGTTGCATAGTAATGTTACTGAATGAGCACATTCGCTTCCATTGTCACTTATTTTGTAGTAGTGAAACTCCCATGGTCATGAAGCTCTAGGACGACTCATCTGATTCCTCAGGAGCCTTTCTGCCTTGCTCCCTAATCCTGTTCCTGAGAGAAAGGCACTTATTATAAGACCCCCAATTTTCCCAGCCCATTAAATATATGTTCAGAAATATCTCCTCAGCCCTTTAGTTCACTGTTACAACCTGGGAAGTTAAATTGGACAGATACGATTATCCTCCTTTTCCAGCCGAGAAAAGGAATGTTCAAAGAGGTTGTGTGGCTTTCTGAGATCACACAGCAAACCAGTGAAGTGATTATCCCCTCCTTTTCCAGCTGAGAAAAGGAATGTTCAAAGAGGTTGTGTGGCTTTCTGAGATCACACAGCAAACCAGTGAAGAGCCAGGTGTGGAACTCGCCTCTCTATGTCCAGTTTTTTCCACTTTAACACATCGCCATCTGGGATGTGCCCAAACTACCCACCATGCCTCCAAAAGAGCCAGTTCCAAGGCAACCATAGAGTTGTTGCTACATAGCCACCTCATCACACATCACTAGACAGCTGGCTAGACGCAGCCCATCAGAATCTTCTATTTGGAAATGAACTGCTCAAAAAGCTGTACTAATGAACTTTTCCTTTTGAAACTATAAATATTTACAATAATCACCATTATGCTGTGAATCGATTTCTGTCAGGAAATGAGAGTTGTTCTGGGTTGCTAACAACATTGGTTTTGTGCTGGGTAGCCTTTCTTTCAGAGGCATTTCAATGTTATTTATTGATTAGTAGATAGATGGATTGCTCCTAGATGTTGTGACCAAGATGAATTTTGGAAATGAAGCAACTTAAAATTTGTCTCAAAACCCAATTACCTCACAATATTAAAGTCAAATTAAAAGAAGAAATTGTGGGCCGGCCTGGTGGCACACTGCTACAGTGCGCCGCTTGGGGGTGCGGTGGCGCTCCCACTGAGGGTTCAGATCCCACATACAGACCGGTTCCCGCTCACTGGCTGAGCAAGGTGCGGGCGCGACGCTGAGGGTTGCGATCCCGTTGCTGGTCCCAGTCCGGTACGGGCGCGACACTGAGGGTTGCGATCTGTTGCCGGACATGGAAAAAAAAAAAAAAAGAAGAAATTGTGGACTGTGGATGATGGTTCTGGCTTAATTATTTGGATAGCTATGATTTTCCCCATTATTCTTGTGGCATTGTCTCCCTTCTAGCCATTCATCATTCAAAGAAGAGTTACTGAGCACCTGTTATTACTGAAAGCCGTCCTGGCCATAGGAACATGGACATGATTAACAGATGGTCACTTTCCGCGGGGAATCCAGGTTTGTAAATGGAGAGATGAGTCCAAGCTGGCTCTTCCATCGCCTTGCTGTGTGATATGCACATTTTCAATCAGCAAACTTCTTTCTTCTTTCCATTTGCCAGTAGTTTTTTAAATGCCTTCAATTAATGAAGAAGCATTAGTGGAATTAAATGTAACTCACTCAAAATTATATAATCGATGGCATCCTGCTTCAACGATGGCTGCTAGAGGAGGTGAGATTCCAGCTAGCTCACTGGTTAGCATGTGAATGAATCTGTGTTAATAAATTCAATGATATGAAATGGTATTTAGTTATATAAGACATACTAATTTGCACAATTGAATATATTTGTGCCAATAATTTTATAATTATAGCTATATGTCTAATACACATTTACATGAAAATAATAATTTAAGTACGTAATTTCATAAGATGCTTTCTTTAAAGCAGATTTTGACAAAGAATACATGTGAGCCTTCAGGCATACGTGCATAAAATCAGAGGTGGGGATAGTCACAGTTTTAGTTAAGTGTTAAAAATCTAATTAGGCACACTGTAGAAAAAAATTATTTAAAACTTGTATAAAAGAAAAAATATAGTAATATTAGAGCTATATGAACAATCTAACTGTGCACATTATGACCTTATATAATATTAATTCACCATATATAATTATGACCTTAGAAGAAACATCTTTTCCACCTCTGTCTTTCTATGGCCAAAGAGTGCCATCTCATCACCAGTGTGCTTGTGGCACCACCTGTATGTACTTTCAACACCCAAATCTTGATCTCAGTAGTACTGTTCATTAGCAGTAGCCAGGGCCCCTCCAAAGAAGCTGATTCCATGTGTGGGAGTAAGGGAACATCAGAACAGCCTGAAACATCTTGCTATTGCCAGAAAACCAGGATGCTTAAAAAAATGCTGGCTATTGCTGAAGGGACAAAGCCTGCTGGAAAGGGAGGGGGCTCATTTGGCCAGGTTGTAATAATTTGCAAATCACAAAGAACAACAGTAGATCTATAGTTGTTGTATTAATCAATTTCTGTTGCTTATAACAAAATACCTGGAACTGGGTAATTTATAAGAAAACGAAATTTATTGCTTACAGTTTCAGAGGCTGGGAAGTCCAAAGTCCAAGGAACACATCTGGTGAGGGTCTTCTTTGATGGTGGCTTTACAGCACTGCAGGGGTCTCACATGGCAGAAAATGGTGGAGCAGAGAGAGAGTTAGTTCTTCACACACACTCCTTTTAAAGCCTTCAAAACCATGCCCACTATTCCAAAAACGGATCAATTCATTCACAAGGGTACAGTCCTCATAATCCAGTCACCTCTCCAAGGCCCCACCTTTCAATTACCATAATAGGATTTCCTACAGTAAACAGTTACAGTGAGAATTAAGTTTCTAATATATGGGGACTTTGGGGGACACGATTCAGTAAATCTACAGCAGTTGTTGATCTACAAGTTGATTGTATGGAAAGCCATGAGTCCTTAATGATAAAAAAAAAAAGGTAATATTATGTGTACAAAAATATGCCTATAACTGTGTAATTACAAAGCTAGTTACAATTCAAAGAAAGTGTAAAAATAGGATATTTTAGTAAGTAGGTAAGTTTGAGGGATCTGTTTCTTACTTGAAGATCTGTATATCTGTTTCTGAAATGGTATGAATGTACAAGTTGAAAAAGGCAGATAAGTTTACTACAAGTTAGTCAAAAATTTCCAGAAAGAGCAGAAACTGTGCCACAACCAGGAAGGACAGTTCAGGACCAGTGGTCTCATAAATAACCAGGTAGGAAGAGGGTTCAATAATTTCCGTTGCAAGTTAATGGATTAGCCAAATGTCCTAGGAGAATAGCTGATAGATAAAAGTGCTATATGGCCCTACTAATTATAATGAAATGCTAATGATGCATAATTAAGTTTTTTGCAAACTGTGGCAAAACATCATGGTCCCAAGACTTAATATACCTGGGAATGAAGATTGCAAGAACTTGCTCATAAGTCCTCTCTAGACATACCCGTTGAAGCTGGTTTAAGGGCGCCCCAACCAGCAAATTACCTGCTGCCACAGAGAATCCATCAGTCAGTGGCCCAGAGGGTGTCACCTCAGTGCACCTGGGAAGGAGATCATCTTTCTCTTTTGGGTCTGACAAGTACAACTCTGGAAATGTACAAAAATAAGTTTTATA